GCCATTATAAACCTAAATATACTTGATTGAATTAAATTAATTGATAAGTATAGTGTAGTAGTAGTAAGAGAATATGTTTGCGGTCGTAATGGTGACAGTAGTGCACACAAAATAGTATCTGTTCCATGTTCCGGCGCGGTTAGCACTCACACTGCATGCGTACCGCACCCGAGCCCAACCGAACCGTGCCCTGGCCCACCTCTTCCAACCAGGCCAGCGCTCACACTAGTCAAACGAACCGGGCTTTGGGGGTTAAACACGCTCGGGCACGGTTCAAAACGCCTAGTGTGAGTACACCCTAAGTTGATCTCTCTCTCTCATAATACTCAACATAATACAATAAGCTTCTATGGAGAGATTCAACATTCCTTTGTTACTAGTTCTAAAGTGATGTTTTAGAATTAGTAACGGAGGCTTGTTCATAACTATAAAACTGCCAATTTGAGATTCGTATCCTTGGCGTACCCTTGTTGTTTCTTGTTTATCTGCACACTTGTGCCGTCAAACTGTTGTATAAACTCAATATCACACTCGTAGCCACGCGATATGGCTGTATATCAGCACGGCTGTGATTCAGCCGTAGGAAAAAGGTTGCAAGATATCTCAGGGCTATGAGTGTGATATTGTGAGAGAACCAATAAGGTTTATGATCAATGTTTATGCACATAAATGATGACAGAATTAACATTTTTGGATGAACTATCCCTTTTAGGTATTTTAAAGGGTTAGTTCACCCAAAAATGAAAATTCTGTCATTTATTACTCACCTTCATGTCGTTCCACACCCGTAAGACTTTTGTTTATCTTCGCGCCAAAAAGTATTCTCATTGCTTTATAATATTAAGGTTGAACCACTGTACTCACATGAACTGTTTTAAATATGTTTTTAGTACCCTTCTGGGCATTGAAAAAGGAAATTAACTTGCGGGCAATGGAGGCCTCACTGAGCCATCGGATTTTATAAAAAAATATCTTAATTTGTGTTCCGAAGATGAACAAAGGTCTTACAGGTTTTGAACGACACAAGGGTGAGTAATTAATGACAGATGTTTCATTTTTGGGTGAACTAATGCTTTAACAACAATACCAGCTAATTTGTTGTACATTATGTTGTGTACCTTCACTCTGGTGTGAGAGGTCGAATTCATCTTGCACCTCCCGTTGGGCCAGACATTGGCTTTAAGGTGTGTAATTTCTATCTGGTCACCCATCTTCAAGTCCGCAAGGGCTTCATCCCGCCACAAATGAAAAAAATAAAATAAATTTTGGGCCACTTCTCAGTTGAAAGTCAAGGATGGGGACTTGTATGCAAGTATAATAATAATAATAATACTAATGAATGTTCATTTAATTTTCGCAAAACTAAATATCACATCAACAGCACACTGA